GAAAAAAAGAGAAATGAGAGGTCTGTTGCAAAAGAAAGAAGGTGCTAGTAGCAAGAAAATGAAGTTAATGAATAACCCCTTCGCATTGTCCAGTTGCCCTCCGACTCCTTATCTCATGCAAATGTCCCGTCTCCTGACTCGAGTTCCTCTTCAGTGATATTTAATGTGGTGATTAGAAATGAACTGGAGATTGTTTCTGTGTCACAAAAGTTGTGCAGCGGCAACTTGGAGCTGATGTCGCTTCCGTCCTTGCTATTTTAGGTGGCAGTTTGGAACTCGTTTTTCTGACTTTTTTGGTTTTGTGATTCTTTGCCAATAAAGGATCTGTTTATTAGTTTGGATGTGTGTACGCTTCCCGCAGCTCCACATCTCAAGCCGCCGGCCGCCTCTCCCTTGATCGTTAGCGGTTTACCCTCCTCTTTCCGTTAAAATTGGTAGCAGGCTAAGAATATACTACATCTTACTTCCTGGTAAAGAATTTCCCCGAGACAAAAGATCCCAAAAATGATTCTGTCTGCATCCCCTCAGATCTAAGCTTAGGTCATCTTTAGTTCCTCTCTCTCGGAAAGCTCAAGAAGCAGTGGTGACCAAAGTTTAATTAATAAATTGTCATCCTCTGGCTCCAGGAAATTTGTTTTTCTCAAGTTTCCCAAGAAGTTAACGTAATTTACTAGAAATCAAACATTAATTTTAGAGTAACCCTGAGAGACTGCTTACTGCTGAGTTTTAGCGCGCGTTGCATCGACATGTGCCCCGATGAAAATGTCTATCGAAATCTGGTTTTTCGGATAATCGAGATTCTCGAGCAATCCAAAAAAATACGGCAATGCATGCGCATGATTATGCAGTCGTATTGCAATCGAAATCACCGGATATCGCATGGTGGGGGGTGCTTCCCGAAGGAACGCATGTCCACTATGGTCCAGCAGAACGAGCAGCGCCACTGCTAGTGCTGCTAAATAATATTCCATGTCCAAAGTGAGCCCTGCCAAAGAAAGCAAGCTGAAACAAGAATTTTTTTTTTGCATGATAATGGGTAAGTCAGTGCTCAATATCCCACACCTCCAGCCGTTTCTAATT